CTTTTTTTGACCATCTATCTCTAGCACTCTCTATTCTAATTCTATTCTTTAAAAAACTTGTCCCTTTTAGACTTACACTCTATTCATTTATTGCTTGTTTTCTTTAAAAAAACACTAGCTTTTCTAATATTTTTGTATTCTATCTATTTGTTTTCTTTTTATTTATTATACAATTAACAAAAGCAAAACAAGGCCTCTAACACTAGCTTGCTCTATTCTTTTTCTATTCTATCTGTTTTCTTTTTATTTATTATATAATAAAAAAAAACCTTGCTATGTGTACTGCGTTAAGCTAACTGAGACTTGTTATAGCACTTGCATATCATTGCTCTTTTGTTGATTTTGATTGCTTGCATTGTCCTCATTTGTAAGTCGCTTTGGATAAAAGCATCTGCCAAATGACTAAATGTAAATTTAATAAATACATCTAATCCTAAATTAGATTTAAACAGAACTTATTGATTAAATAAATGTGTTGCTTTATGAGGAACATGTGCAGAATAAATTGGTATTACGTCTTTCTAAATAAATTGGATCTTGTTGAAAGCATCTGGATTATGCTTTAGTAAACATGTTAAACCGGTTGGTTGATTTAAACAGATAATTTAGTAGAATTTCCCTCAAGCTCTTTAGTTCTATTTTGAAATGGTAAATAAAGTCAACTTAAGAAAAATTTCATAAATTTACCTGTACATAACAACTTGATATGGACATGTGTCCAATGGATTTACCTCCTTTCACTGAGTGCCCATCCCCCTTTGTCAGAGGCCTGGCATGTGTTCACATTCCTACTTGATTCCTTGTACTCTTTTGGAATGTCTCATTCCATGGTAATTTTGAGATAGCAATCTGCACTCGGAAACAGTCACTGAATCTAACATTGTCTTCACAATAAGTTTCAGTTATTAGATACTGGAAGCACAGCAATTTTCTCCCAAATAAATACTTTTACTTTTGAGTATTTGTAATTCGGACTTTTTTGTTATTCTCATTACTGATTTTTATTTATTTATTTATTTTTGAAAGGCAGTTGCTAGATGCAGTTTCATTGTGAACAATTGGCAGAGGCAGGGGATGAAAAGTAACGAAAATATTATTAGAAATATTATATTATTATTTTTGTCTTTGTCAAAGCTCCATCTTACTTTGTCTGACCAGAAAAAAAATAAATGATACAAAAAAAAAAGGACAAAAGTGAAGAATCTTTAGAACACAATTTAAAATCCAAAAACATAGCAAAATCAGACCTGTATAAAAGTAATGTCTCGAAACCTCTAATATAAATACACATATAGTAATGTAGCATATACTGTAAGATTGTGGTAGCATATTCCAGGTCCAGGGTGCATTTATTCTTCCTGAATTACTTGAAAAATTCTTAAGTAGTTCTCAAATATTTTTTAAAGAACATTTTACATTTTTACATTTACATTTAGTCATGTAGCAGACGCTTTTATCCAAAGCGACTATTGAGGACAATAGAAGAAAAAGAAAAAAGACCCAGTCGTGTGCTTTGCATGTTTCATGAGATTCACCCAGGGAGATTCAGCTGCTTATTTGTATTAATGTGGTCTATCAGTTAGCTATAGGTGGAGATTGTTACTATGGCTCTGAGTCATGTTCTTTCAAATTCCCCAAACCAAATGGGTGTGATGCAGACACAAGTATGTCTATTGTTCCATCACAGTGAGGCTGTTGTTTGAGCTGTATCTTGCCTCCCAATATGCTGGCTGAAAAGACAAAGGGAAAAGAGTCCTGGGGATGAGGGGACAGAAATTGCACCCCACTGGCCACAAGATTTAAACATTATATGTGTTAATGTAAGACTAGTGTAATAAAATAGCTTCCTTACCTGTGCAAACCCAGTAACTAATAAAATACAAAATGTAAAAAAAAACAAAAAACAAGCACTTTAACAAAAAAAATGTGAGCTACACATTTTTGCTTTTAAACACATTTTACCCAAATATGGGAATTGTATATGCAAGCTCCCTTTAATGGACAGTTGCCTTATAAAATGCTATAATTAAGCTTATAATAGCTATAATTAAGCATTTCAGCAACTTATAATGGTACATCTCACATCAATCACTAACAAAAAGTGTATTTTAAATATATTTAACCAGACCTACAGTTGGCAGGGCATTAGCAGTTCTTGTGTATGTGTTAATACTTGTGTACAGTATGTTTTTTAGCACTAGACCTTTAATTGTTTACACTTATGCACTTACAATTATTGTGTTGTTTTATAAACTGGAGAATCAGTCTGAATTTGATCACAATGTGTATTGAGTTAATGGCTAGTTTTCAGATGAAGGGCTACTGATAGAAGCTTTACAAAAATGTTTTTAGTCCTAAGCATGCTGTCATGCTCACCTTGGCACACGCAAAACATGTTATGCCACACTCAGTTTATAGTATTCCCCATCTGTTTGCTTCATGCTTGTGTTGTATGCTGTTGGTGATGTCATGCCACTGGTATGCACATACTCTTTAAACCCCACCAGATCTCTGGAGCACTACACAACCTTCCACAGACTACACACCGTTTGTTTCTCCATCTGTCTCCTTGCCTTTTTCCCTAACTGATGTAACCTGGTTTATTTAAGCATGTTCATGTTCTAAATGTAGCCATTTCTGAATTTTACATTTCAGACATAATGTGATTTTGAAATCCATTTTAAAACATTTTGAAGAGTGTATTGTTCTTCAGAGGTGGTCTTCATAAAACCATCTTGTTGCATTTATGGTCAGGAAAAAAGTGGGGTAAACTTTGGCACTTTTTTTTTTGTTTACTGAGATTGTATTGTATCAAGTCGTCACCTTTATTTTTATAAGACTTTTCTTTAAAAAAAACTATGAAAAAAAATAAAAGTACTTATATATGTGTCACAAATGTGTGCACAGACTCAAGACAGGCAGATGAATAAAGTTCCAACACAATCTTTAATAATATTCCACAGGATAAACATAACACAAAGTAGCAGCAAACACACACTTTACACAAACATGACTGGACCCTGAACTGATGGAAAACAGAAACTAAAGTATACAATGAAAGAGGTGATTAATTAAACACATCTGAACTGAATGAACAAATCATATTATTAACCATAGAAACAGGAAAATCAGGAAATCAAACAAAGGAATACAGGAACTAATGAATACAAGTCCATGAAACTGAAAGAAATAAAAAATACTGGTGACATTTTAGTGCAGTACATTAAGAGTAAACTTAAATTAAATTGAGTGGATTGAATTACAGTAGAATATATGAATAATTTTCTTTTCAAATACACATAACATCAGTTAGGTGTTTGTTTATATAAAACACTAATTCATACTGCATTCTCCATTCCAAACTATATTGCAACACATTATTTACTTACAGGTGTTACATTTCTTTCTTTCTTTCTTTTTAATCATATTCTTAAATTCTTAAATAATCTTAATCCTTAAATCTTGATATGTAAAAAAACTGTGTTAACAAAAAATATATTTTATTGGACTTCAAAATGAATTTAAAGGAGAGATTCTTAAAAACTGACCGATATATCTATATTTGATATAGATCCATATTACATTACTATGAATGTTACTTTAATAAGGGAGTAATTAGGGGGAAATAATAAGGGAACATCTCAAAAGTATATCAAAAATAGTTCATCGTTAAACAGATGTGTCTAAGCCCCCATAACTAATAGTGATGGGAAGTCCAAATCCTTTCTTTCGAACAGTTCAATAATCAGCAGAAAAGGAGCACGACACATCCAACAATAAACTCCATCACACAAGAATTTCTGCAGATGCACTATAGACATACAGACATCCTGCAGAGACCTAATCACTGTTTTTAATTGGTCTGATTCTTCATTCCACTTCAACCTCTATTTATTGCCATAATTATTTATTGCTGTCTTGGCGACTTTATTTTTGGTTTTGGTTTCTGATTTTTTGAGGTTTTGTGAAGATAATTATCTTAAAAGGATTGGCACTAACTGTAAAAGTTTCTGAAGTTCTAGAGGACATCACAGTCGATTTTCCAGTGGATACATAGTTAGAGAAAAGCTGATGTCAACTTTATGCTATTTCTTTATTATGCTTACATGCGAATGTCATTGTTGAATGTGCACTACAAATTTTAATGTCAAATTTTATAGGAAGATCTTTTCAGTCTGTGGCTGGTTTAATTCCTCAGGTGCAAAGAGAAGTGAACAGCAGCTCAGAGGATGTGGACACACAAATGGGAAACAAAGGTAAATACAAAATACATCTCTCTGTATGATGTCTAGTTCCTGAAGGAAGATTATTTGGTAGATAGATAGATAGATGAATAAATAAATGAATAAATCAATTAATTCTGTCATAGGTACGCCCAGTCTGAAGCGCAGTGGCTCTATCAAGGACAGGATGGCGAAATATCAATTAGCGGTCACCAGAAAGGCTTCTTTTACTGTGCCACGCTCTGTGAGTATGTTTGCTATGTGTATACACACCAATCTTGAAAAAGTGTGCCTACGTAAAACTTCATCGTATTTAAATTGTCTGAAGGAAGATGCGCAGGCATGCCTGAAGTATGGCAATGAAACGCAGTCTCATTTCCATCTTCCATCTGAAATATACATAACCCTCAGACGTTCCCTTTCGAAGAGAACTTTGATGCTGTGTCATGGTCTTGATGCTATGGGAACGTTAATTCCCACTGCGCCATACTGAATAAATGCCTGCTCACTTGCTAAAGACTAAAGCCTCTAGAGGCAGACCTAACCAGGGAGGCTGGAGCTACAGCTGCTGCTGCCAACAACTTCCAATCTGGAAGGAGCAGACTACTACACCGGTACCTAAGCTGTCACCAGGCCTCTGCCAATTACAAAAGCTCTTAAAAGCAACCCAACCGAGGAGAGCATACAATTTAACATCTAGTTTAAAGAACTGGAAGAGGCTGCAGGAGAAAGGGAGTTATCCTCTGGTCTATCCACTCTCCACTCAACCCTCAGTCCTCCTAAGAGGAAATCCCTGTTGAAAAAAACAAAAAAAAACAGCAAATGCTGTTTAGGTATGTTTTGAAGCATGGCAGCTGGTTTGAGCTGGTTTAATCTGGTCCTTAGTTGGTCATAAATTGGTTTAGGCTGGTCCTGAGCTGCTAATAAGCTGGTTATGAGCTGGTTCTGAGCAGGAGCTGGTTGCTTAGGACCAGCACATGGCTAACTCAAACCAGCTGCCATGCTTCAAAACATACCTACCCAACATATGCTGGTTTTTCAACAGGGATGGCAAAAGCATGGTTTGCAGGGCTCCACCAACCTAGACCACCACTGTGTAAGCCTTGCCCACCATCCGCAATAGTTTTAACATGGCTTAGAGGGCAAACGCCACACCAGGGAAGAGAATGCATGCAAGTAACATATTTAACCCAAGGCATCTTCTCATACCCATGCTCACAAGCCCCCTCACAATTTAATGCTTAACACGTTAAACGCATTGCGTTCTTATAATGGGCTTATTTGCTTGTCTGTACATAGAATGCTTTATGAATGATGTGTTTACTGAGTTTGGTCTTTTAAAAACACTGCCTTAACGCATCAAGCCACGTTAAGTGTTGTCCTTACGGTATTTTATGGGAGAAAAAATACTTAATGCTGAATTAAACGCATTGTGTTCTTATTTTTGGCTCATCTTCTTGTCTGTACATAGTATGCATTACTAATAATGTGTATACTGAGTTTTGTCTTTTAAAAAATCTCTCAATTGACCATTCGCAAAGAGCTTGATTGACAGGCGATCTGACCAATCAGAATGCGGATATTATGTGCCGCCGCTGCTATCCGCCATCTTGCCCAACATCTACTGCCAGTCTTCATAGAAATCCATGTTAAAACGGTGTAAAAAAGATATACTGAATTGAAACTTTTTCAATATAACTAAATATAAATATGTGCGGAGGGTTAAGCTGTGCTGTTATTGGCTGCCACAGTAATGGCAATAAGCTAAGGAATTCCTTTAAAGTAGTTGTTTTGCATACCAGAAAACCTGGCATGTCCGGTGCTGTATGCATGGCTTGCAGCACTAAAGTTAAAATACTGAGTGTGAAATAATAAAATAATATGTTAAAATGTGTGCGCTTATCATTCTGTCGACAAAATCTGTGAACTTCGCCCCAATTGGGAGCTGTGTATGCACATGTGTGCGCATCTGTTTTCAATGCAGCTAACCTCGCGTCGCTTCATGTCATCTTCCCACTCATTAAACTATGACAGGTCCTTTACTAGAAAAGGACGGTCACTGCGACACTCTAAAGTGATGAAATTATGGCGCCATGTGCTTTTTAAAACCATTTTCATCGGTTTCACGTTATATTGTTGGCTCGGAAAATATGTAAATGCACATGCCCAGTAGCCGCAGGTGTATCCCTTCCAGCCTTAACCACAAATCAGACAGAAGAGTAGATTAACTTCGGTGGACTTAAACTTGAAAAATGGTGTGTTCCGCGGTTGAAATACACTTTCTAATGTTTATTCATGTTCATTTCGTGCTTTACGTAACTATGAAAAGACGATCGGCTCACGTGTTTGAACTGAGGCAATACAGTGATCTGTCACGACTCATTAAAGAGCCACAAAATTGAATTTATTGTTTGAATTTCTTTAAAAATTACAAAATTTGAAAGCTGGGAGTCCTAAGACCTTGTTTCATACCAGAAGTAACCTGCTCTGTCTTCTTTGTCGGTGTGTTGTCAGTTTCTTCTTTACTCTGCAATATATTTTTCACCTTGCGAGAACATGGTGTGTAGTGTAAGAGCGGCATTTGTCGGGGATAGCAACAGTAACTAAGGAGGGTGGGTCTTTGCGAACGATCAATTAATGCAGGTTAAGCATTTTAGAATGTCTCCATCAAGGCTGTGTTCGTTACTATAGTAACAGTAGGCTCACGATGCATTGTGTTTTAAAAATCAAACAATCATTGTTAAAAGAACCACTTTTGTTATGTCGAAATCACAAGAAAATTAAGTCATGATAATGAGAAAACAACTTTTGTTATGTCAAGAAAATTAAGTCGTGATGACGAGAAAAAAAACTTTTCTTATGTCCTGATCACGAGAAAATTAAGTCATGATCACGAGAAAACAACTCATTAAGTCGTGATCACGAGAAAACAAGAAAGAAAAAAATATAATGCATGGCCGCTTAGAACTTCCGTACTTTATACTATGCTGGTGCACCAGATACATGGCTGCCATAGCCAATCAAGGTTGGCAAGTTTATACAAGTGCTTCAGAGCAGATTTTTCAAATATTCACATAGCATCAAAACCATGATGCAGCATCTTGTTCCCTTCAAAATCAAACTGTAAAACAGTGTTTTGCATGTCATTTTTATACTGCACATGTTAAGGTGTTTATCCTGTGGTAATCAAGAATTGCCTAATGATTCCCACCGTGTTTTTTGCTTTTCTAAAAAAAGCTACACCTGAAATTCACTAAAGTCAAGTCAAGTCACCTTTATTTATATAGCTCTTTTAACAATACAGATTGTGTCAAAGCAGCTTTACAGTATCAAAATAGGAAAATAGTGTGTCAATGCAAAAGGACAATAGTAAACACTCAACTTTCAGTTAAAGGCAGTTCATCATTGAATTCAGTGATGTCATCGTCCAGCTCAGTTCAGTTTAAATAGTATCTGTGCAATCAAGTCGATGATATCGCTGGAAATTAAGTGTCCCCAACTAAGCAAGCCAGAGGCGACAGCGGCAAGGAACCAAAACTCCATCGGTGACAGAATGGAGAGAAAACCTTGGGAGAAACCAGGCTCAGTCGATGGCCGTCTAGAAGACAAGGTCTTCACTGGGGATCTGTCTAGTAGTAGGAAAGTAGGAAAAGGATCTGCCACCCGCAGTTGATTTTGATATTCTAGGTATTATCAAATTGCCAGAGTTTTGAGAGCACAGTGGATGTGAAGGACTATAATACGATAAGAGCTTGCTCAAGTACTTAGGTGCTAAATCATTCAGGGCTTTATAAGTTTAAAATATATACAATGTTTAATAGGGAGAAAGTGCAGTGTTGACAGAACAGGGCTAATATGGTCATACTTCTTGGTTCTAGTAAGAACTCTGGCTGCTGCATTTTGGACCAGCTGGAGTTTGTTTATTAAGTGTGCAGAACAACCACCCAATAAAGCATTACAATAATCTAATCTTGAGGTCATGAATGCATGAATTAACGTTTCTGCATTTGACATTGAGAGCATAGGTCACAATTTAGATATATGTTTGAGATGGAAAAATGCAGTTTTACAAATGCTAGAAACGTGGCTTTCGAAGGAACAATTGCTATCAAATAGCACACTAGTTCTATAACTGTTTCGTTATAACACACAGTTATATTTGTTATACAGTTCCTAACAGATGACGAAGAATTGACAGAGCAGCCATCAAGTGTTAGACAGTGTTCTAGGTCATTACATGCAGAGTTTTTAGGCCCTATAATTAACACCTCTGTTTTTTCAGAATATAGCAGTAAGAAATTACTCGTCATCCAGATTTTTATATCGACTACGCATTCTGTTAGTTTTTAAAATTGTTATGTTTTGCCAGGCCGTGAAGAAATATAGAGCTGAGTATCATCAGTATAACAATGAAAGCTAACACCATGTTTCCTGATGATATCTCACAAGGATAACATGTAAAGCGTGAAAAGTAACGGCCCTAGTACTGAGCCTTGAGGTACTCCATACTGCACTTGTGATCGATATGATACCTCTTCATTCACTGCTACGAATTGGTGGCGGTCAGATAAGTATGATTTGAACCATGCTAATGCACTTCCACTAATGCCAACAAAGTTTTCTAGTCTATTCAAAAGAATGTTGTGGTCGATAGTGTTGAAAGCAGCGCTAAGATCCAGTAGCACTAATAGAGAGATACAACCATGATCAGATGATAAGAGCAGGTCATTTGTAGTAGGCTCACGATGCATTGTGTTTTAAAAATCAAACAATCATTGTTAAAAGAACCACTTTTGTTATGTCGAAATCACAAGAAAATTAAGTCATGATAATGAGAAAACAACTTTTGTTATGTCAAGAAAATTAAGTCGTGATGACGAGAAAAAAAACTTTTCTTATGTCCTGATCACGAGAAAATTAAGTCATGATCACGAGAAAACAACTCATTAAGTCGTGATCACGAGAAAACAAGAAAGAAAAAAATATAATGCATGGCCGCTTAGAACTTCCGTACTTTATACTATGCTGGTGCACCAGATACATGGCTGCCATAGCCAATCAAGGTTGGCAAGTTTATACAAGTGCTTCAGAGCAGATTTTTCAAATATTCACATAGCATCAAAACCATGATGCAGCATCTTGTTCCCTTCAAAATCAAACTGTAAAACAGTGTTTTGCATGTCATTTTTATACTGCACATGTTAAGGTGTTTATCCTGTGGTAATCAAGAATTGCCTAATGATTCCCACCGTGTTTTTTGCTTTTCTAAAAAAAGCTACACCTGAAATTCACTAAAGTCAAGTCAAGTCACCTTTATTTATATAGCTCTTTTAACAATACAGATTGTGTCAAAGCAGCTTTACAGTATCAAAATAGGAAAATAGTGTGTCAATGCAAAAGGACAATAGTAAACACTCAACTTTCAGTTAAAGGCAGTTCATCATTGAATTCAGTGATGTCATCGTCCAGCTCAGTTCAGTTTAAATAGTATCTGTGCAATCAAGTCGATGATATCGCTGGAAATTAAGTGTCCCCAACTAAGCAAGCCAGAGGCGACAGCGGCAAGGAACCAAAACTCCATCGGTGACAGAATGGAGAAAAAACCTTGGGAAAAACCAGGCTCAGTTGGGGGGCCAGTTCTCCTCCGGCCAGACGAACCAGCAGGTTGATCCATGCTGCAGCAAAGTTAGGAAAAGGATCTGCCACCCGCAGTTGATTTTGATATTCTAGGTATTATCAAATTGCCAGAGTTTTGAGAGCACAGTGGATGTGAAGGACTATAATACGATAAGAGCTTGCTCAAGTACTTAGGTGCTAAATCATTCAGGGCTTTATAAGTTTAAAATATATACAATGTTTAATAGGGAGAAAGTGCAGTGTTGACAGAACAGGGCTAATATGGTCATACTTCTTGGTTCTAGTAAGAACTCTGGCTGCTGCATTTTGGACCAGCTGGAGTTTGTTTATTAAGTGTGCAGAACAACCACCCAATAAAGCATTACAATAATCTAATCTTGAGGTCATGAATGCATGAATTAACGTTTCTGCATTTGACATTGAGAGCATAGGTCACAATTTAGATATATGTTTGAGATGGAAAAATGCAGTTTTACAAATGCTAGAAACGTGGCTTTCGAAGGAACAATTGCTATCAAATAGCACACTAGTTCTATAACTGTTTCGTTATAACACACAGTTATATTTGTTATACAGTTCCTAACAGATGACGAAGAATTGACAGAGCAGCCATCAAGTGTTAGACAGTGTTCTAGGTCATTACATGCAGAGTTTTTAGGCCCTATAATTAACACCTCTGTTTTTTCAGAATATAGCAGTAAGAAATTACTCGTCATCCAGATTTTTATATCGACTACGCATTCTGTTAGTTTTTAAAATTGTTATGTTTTGCCAGGCCGTGAAGAAATATAGAGCTGAGTATCATCAGTATAACAATGAAAGCTAACACCATGTTTCCTGATGATATCTCACAAGGATAACATGTAAAGCGTGAAAAGTAACGGCCCTAGTACTGAGCCTTGAGGTACTCCATACTGCACTTGTGATCGATATGATACCTCTTCATTCACTGCTACGAATTGGTGGCGGTCAGATAAGTATGATTTGAACCATGCTAATGCACTTCCACTAATGCCAACAAAGTTTTCTAGTCTAT